CCTGTTACAGACCTCCAACTAGAGTCTGTGCTCCTCATCACGACCCTCTGAGCTCTGTCTTTCAGCCGGTTTTCAATCCACCCCACTGGCCCTTCTTCTAACCCACACTTCCTAAGCTTACCGAGGAGGATGCTGTGGGAGACTGTGTCCAAAGCCTCCCACAGCATCCTCATCGTAAGCTTAGCAAATCCCTGGGGAGCCAGAAGGTCACCGGGGAGCCACCTCCCAAACCTGTGCTGGTGACTGGGAGCACAGCGGTCACACCAGATCTGGTGCCATGGGGTACACTGACTTCCTGACTCCGTTGGCCTTGACCCTGATGTTTGTGGTGGGGTCCTCTGCCATGTTGTTGGCTCCGTGGCTCTGGGTGGGTGGCTACCACATCAGATGATGGTGTGGGGTGGTGTGAGGGGCTGTGGCAAAGGGTGGGGATCTTTTCCTGTCTTACCCATCTCTGGGAGGTCCTGCAGAGCCAGTGGAAGAAGTTGCATCATGGGATGAGGTTGGCAAGAGCCCAGTTGGAGGGTGCATTAAAGCACATCAAGGCTGCCCAGTGTCACCCGTGTCCTGGGGACGGGGCTTCCCATGGGTACAGGGGGCAGCTGTGGGGTGGGGAGGGAGGGAGATATGAAATCCAAGGAGGGCAAGAGCAGGGTCCTGCCCCAGGGGAGGAATAACCTCATGGACCAGGAGAATTTGGGAGGGACCCACAAGCCACCAATGTTCCCTGATGGCCATGAACTGCCCCCAGCTCAGGGAGATGCAGGGAAACCCTGGAGACACCCCCATCCCACAGTGAGTCTTTATTCCTCTAGGAGCCAGGGGGAAGGCAAGCCAGAGAGCCGGGCAGGGACACCCCCAAATCCAGCCCTACTGCATCACCCCCAAAACCCATGGCCACCCCCATCACTGGGGGGGGGCACCCCACGATCAGCTGCATCCAAAAACCCCATCTGCAGCTCTGCTGAAGGTTCTGATGTCCCTGGGGCTGGGTGCATGTCCCAGGATGGGTGGCACCGTGGCAAGGCTTCAGCTGGGCACGGGGGCTGCAGCGGGGCTGTCCCCATGCCCCCAGCCCCAAATGCTGTCCCCTCCCATCCCACCATCCCGATGATGCTGGTGTCTTCCATCCTGGACCCCTCTTTCTCGCCGTGGTGCGGTGGCATCGGGGCTCAGGGTCCCCCCACGGCTGCCAGGGCTGTGGCTGCCAGGAGGAGCCCCCAGAGGAGCAGGGAGGTCCCCGATGATGGTCCTGCCTGGGGGGGGTCAGAGATTGGGTTGGGTGAGTGTCAGCCAGGGAGGGTCCCAGCCAGGGGTGACCCCCCCATTGGCAGTTGGGGCTCTGGTCTCACCTGCGCTGAAGTCACACGGCTGGTCCTGGCGTCGCTTCCCTGCCAAAGAGACCAACAACGTCTGGAGGGGCCCTGCAGGCTCCTCGCCACGGCCCAGCCAGGCCACGCTGGGCCACCCTTGCCTTGCTGTCCCCCCCCATGCCATGCTGTGCCATCCTATCCTCCACCGTGCCATATCATGCAGCTGGTGGCATGGAGGGACCATCCCAGGGGATGGAGGCACCATTTCGGGGGATGGTGATACCATTCCAGGGGATGGAGGCACCATTTCGGGGGATGGTGGTATCATTTCAGGGGATGGAGGGACCAACCCAGGGGACGGTGGGACCATTCTGGGGGATGGAAGAACCAACCCAGGGGAATGGAGGGGGAATGGAGGGACCGTCACGGGGGATGTCACCTTTCAGCCATTCACACTTGTGGTAGCTGAATTTCCCAGTGGGATTGAGCTGGATGTACCAAGCTGTCAGGACATGCCATGCCATGCTCTGCCATGCTGTGTCAAAACGTGCCAAGCTGTCCTGTGCCACACCACATCATGCCATGCTGTACCTTGCTGTCCCCCCCCATGCCATGCTGTGCCACGCTATCCTCCACCGTGCCATATCATGCACCTGGAGGGAACTGGGCATGTTTAGCTTGGAGAAGAGGAGGCTGAGGGGAGACCTCATTGCCCTCTACAACTCCCTGAAAGGAGGGTGTAGAGAGGTGGGGGTTGGCCACAGGACCAGAGGTAATGGTTTGAAGCTGCAGCAGGGGAGATTCAGATTAGATCTTAGGAAGAATTACTTTACTGAAAGAGTGGTCAGGCACTGGACCAGCCTGCCCAGGGAGGTGGTGGAGTCACCATCCCTGGAGGTATTTAAGAAACGTGTAGACGTGGCTCTTCAGGGCCTGCTCTAGTACCCAATATTATAGGTTTGTGGTGGGGTGTAGTATATATTTTCTTTTTTTTTTTAATTTTTTTTTTTTTCTTTTGTGGTTGGACTCGATGATCTATGAGGTCCCTTCCAACCACTACAATTCTGTGATTCTGTAAAATTGAAACACCTGCGCAT